GCCATGCATATTCCCCACCCTGCCTGTATTTATTCTCTTAGGAATTCTGAGAGATAAATTCTATGATTAGCTTTATTCTACAAGCAAGAAAACTGAGTCATGAAGCCAAAAACTGGGGCAAATTCCAGCTGTCTGATGCCAAATATCCTCTCCAGCTCATGGGAGGGAGGGATATCTGGACAGGACACTGGGACACTCTCTGTGATGTCAACATTTCAGGGCAGCTTTTGCAAATTGCTGGACATGGGGTCTGTTTTGGGAGCATGTTAGTCCTTGATGTGGGTTACAGTTGGTCATCACTGGCCCAGCCAGACCCAGCTCCCTGTGGCCATCAGCCATAGAACAAGTGGGACTTGGGCAGCATATTCTGGTGGTATTTAGAGTTCTGTGATTCATCTTGAGCCAACAGGGAGAAAGTGAGGAAGAAAATTACATTTTCAGAACACTTGAGAGATTTTGGGAAGTCACTTGCTTTGGGGGAAACAGGATGGTCCAGAAAACAAAACAAAACAAGAACCAGAAAGGCCTGGCTAAAGCCCAGCTCTGCCTCTTTCTGGGTAAGTCATTTCACTGCACTTGAACTTTCGATTTTTCTTCCGGGAAACCAGGTTAGTAAATATTTTCATGACAGAGCTCTTGTTGAAACTCGTATAATTATGTGAGTAAAAATGTTTAGCAAACCTAAAAAGGCTCCGGTGCTATTACTTTTTTTCTGCAAAGGTTGGGTTTGAAAGAACTTTTAATTTTTTTAATTGTGATAAAATATTCCTAACTTAGAATTGATCATATTAACCATTTTTAAGTGTACGGTTCAGTGGAATTACATTCACTGTTGTGCAACCATTGTCCACATAACTCTTTTCTTCTTGCAAAATGGAAACTTTGTATCCAGTAAGCAATAACACCTCATTCTCCCTCCCCCAGGCCCTGGCAGCAAAACTGAAACTTTGTATTTACTAAACAAGAACTCCTCATTCTAAACTCCTCATTCTCCACCTGGCCCCTGGTCCCTGGCAACCACCTCTCTGCCAAGGACAAAGGGAAGATCTCTCTTTGGGTAAAGTTAATTCTTCACAGAATAAGGTCTTTTGGATCCAGTCCCACTTCTTTTTGTTCATCTACTGGGTTTCTACTCTACTAATACTTTGCAAGTGATGGTGGTGACCTGCCCTTGAGTGAGGTGCATCTTTATCAAATGCCTGCCACTAACAAGCATCTGAGATGACTTTAACTCACGTGCTCCTGGAATCAAGAAGTAATGCAGCGGATCTATGATGTACAAAATATATTTAATGTTGGCAGAAAAGTGTTTGCATTTGTAAAACAGCTTTCCATTTGATTTCTAGTTTTACTCTCAAACTATATGATTTCCACAGGAGAGATCTAATTGAGCCCATTTTACACATGAGTAAACTGCCATTCTTAATCGTCTGACTTTATTGGTAAGGGGATGACGCACATGTGCTCCCTAAAGCTCTGAATAAGCTGACCGCACACAAGGCCATAAAGAACAAAGACATGCTGCAAAACGACGGGCAGTACCGGAAGTGTTATTGAAAGACTTTCCTCGGTTGAAAAGGAAGCTTGAGGAGCATATAAGAAAGCTCTGTGCACTTGCAGACAGGATTGAGCAGGTCCACAGAGGCTGCACCATCCCCAGTGTGGTGTTCAGTACTGCAGGTGCTGCTTCTGATGTCCTGACCATCCTGGCCTGGCTCTGGCACCCGTGACAGAAGGAGCTAGTCTGATGCTCTTGAAAACTGGCATAGTGCTGGGAACAGCGGTTTCTGTGAGTGGTATTAACACCAGCATCATAGAACACTCAGTGACATTTTCTGAAGCATCCAAAGCCATCAGCCTGGTCATAGGCAACACTGGCCTAGTGAAGGGGATGCAGGAGTTTGTAGGTGAGAACATCCTTGACTTTGTTTCCTTATCTGACCATGTGTACCAAGTCGCAGAAGACGTTGGGAGGGCCATCCGTGCCTTCAGACGAGCCAGAGTCATCCCTCCCTTAGTGGCCAATGCCATGCACCCCTTGGCAACTCGATGAGTCTCAGCTGGAACTGGTGCACAGGTGGAGAGAGCTGCTGAAGGCACTGCTCTTGCAATGAGCAGATGAGCCTGGGTCAGGGGTGCAGCCACCAGAGGTGTCTTCCTTCTACTGAATATGGTCAGCCTTGTGTGTGAGTCAAAGCACTTTAATGAAGGGGCAAAGTCTGAGTTGGCTGAGGAGCTGAGGTGACAGGCTCAGGAGCTGGAGGGGAGGTTAAGGAACTCTAGCCTGGGAGACAAGAACAAAACTCTATGTTAAAAAAAATAATAGATAGATAGATAGATAGATAGATAGATAGATAGATAGATAGATAGAGATACAGATACATATACATATACCTGAGGCTGGGTAATTTATTTTAAAACATGATTTAATTGGCTCATAGTTCTGCAGGCTTCATAAGCATGGCTCCAGCATCTGCTTCTGGTGAGGGCCTCGGGAAGCTCACAATCACGCCAGCAGGGAAGGGGAGCTGGCATGTCAATGGTAAGCGTGGGAACAAGAAGGGGAAGGCAGAGCTCTCACACTCTTTTAAACAATTAGATGTTGCATGAATTGAGTCAAAACTCGCTCATCTCCAAGGGGATGATGCTCAGCCATTCATGAGGAATCTGCCCCCATGATCCAATACCTCCCACTAGGCCCCCTTCCAATGCTGGAGGTCACATTTCCTCATGAGGTTTGAAGGGGACACATATTCAAATCATATCATTCGACACAACCCCCCCATCACATGTTCTTGTCACATTGCAAAACACAGTCATCCCTTCCCAGTGGTCTCCCAAAGTCATAATTTGTTCCAACCTCAAGTCCAAAGTTCTAAATCACATGCAAAGACCCTTCCTTCCAGCTAGGAGCCTGTAAAATCAAAACAAGTTACTTACTTCCAGGATAAAATGGTGGCATAGACATTGCATAAACACTCCCATTCCAAAAGAAAGAAGTCGGCCAAAAGAAAGGGGCAACATGCCCCCATGCAAGTCCCAAACCCAGCAGGGCAGACGTGAAACTTTAACTCTCCAGAACAATCTTTGAATCCATGTCCCATACCTAGGGCACGCTGGCACAAGTGTTGGTCCCCTGAGGCTTTGAGCAGCTCTGCCCCTGTGGCTTTTCAGGGGGCAGCTGCTGTGGCTGCTGCTACAGATGGATTACAGTTGAGTGCATGTGGCCTTTCCAGGCTCAGGATGGAAGCTACTCGTGGCTCTAAAATTACGGGATCTGGAGGGCGAGTGCCCTCTTCCCACAGCCTCACTAGGTAATGCCCTGGTGGGGACTCCGTGTAGGGGCTCCTACCCTACCTTTCCCCTCAGCACTGTCCTAGTAGATTATCTCTGTGGGGAATTTGTCCTGCTGCCGGCTTCTACCTGGGCACCCAGGCTTTTCCACAAATCCTCTGAAATCTAGATAGAAGCTACCAAGTCTCCTTCACTCTTGCATTCTGCACACCTGAAGACCTAAACCATATACGGAAGCTGCCAAGGTGGCTTGCACCCTCTGGGGCAGTGTCCCAAGCCACCTTTAAACTGAGGGTGTAACTGGAGCAACCAGTAGGTGAGGAGCAGTGTCCTGAGGCTGAGAAGGGGACCAACATCCCAAATCTGGGCCCTTAAATCATTTTTCCTCCCTGAGTTGTTGGATGAAAGCAACTTTCTCTCCTCTTGCTTCAGTTTCCCCATCTGCAAAATCAGATCATAATCCTGGCCCATTGAGAGGATGATTATAAAACTCAATCAAATGGAGAAGTATTTGCGAATGGAATGTATTGCAACGTGTATTATGCAGTCCCTGTGTAATCACCTTTTTGTTCCTGCCTCACAAGCAGGGTTATGTGTGTAGGGGTGGGGGGAGGTGGCCACGATGCCCCCAGAGATGTTTGCTGAGGATGAAATAGGCTTCCATGGAAGGGTCAGTTTGGCTTCTGTGGTTCAGCTGTCTTTGAGGCCCTTCTGCCTGGGGCAAAGCACAAAAGTCCAACAGCAATCTGGTTGCCTGACTTCTTAGCCATGGAAGTGTGGTGAGCAGTGGTCTCTAGTCCCTCCACCTGGTGTGCCTCGGGAGTGGAACATGGGGCGGTGGCCTCTGCTGGGGAGGATGCTGGGGGTTCTCTGAAAGGAGGCAATGCCTGATTTTGTCATTGAAGGATGAGCATGATTTTTCCAGGTGGTGGAAGCAGGTGCTCCTGGCAGAAGACCCCTCATAAGCAAATATCTAGAAGCCACAAGGCATGGCCTTCAACAAGAGCAGGCCTGGTGTGGTGGCTCATGCCAAGGTGGGGGCATCACTTGAGGCCTGGAGTTCAAGAGTAGCCCAGTCAATATAGTGAGATCCCATCTCTAACATATTTTTTCAAAAAATTAGCTGGGTGGCTGGATCATGCCTGTAGAACCAGCTACTCAGGAGGCTGAGGTGGGAGGATGGCTTGAGCCCAGGAGTTGGAAGCTGTAGTTCGCTGTGATTGTGGCAGTGCACTTCAGCCTTGGCTACAGAGTGAGACCCTGTCTCCAAAACATAAACAAAATAACCACAACAGCATTACAATAAATATACAATAAGCATCCACACGGCATGTGTGGGAGACTGTGCTTATGCTGATGGCATGGGTAGGAGGAAGGCAGGCATCTGGGGAGTGTGGCTGCACGGGAGGACAGGGAGTAACTTGGAGGGTCCCACAGGCTGTCAGTGGCAGGTCTTTCTTCCTGAAGACCACTGCAGACCCCCAACCCTGAGGATGTGAGGCAGGTGGGTTGGATGAGAGGGACCTGGGTGTTTCGTCTGTGGCTGCTCCTCTAAGTGCAACAGCAAAGAGGGTGGGCCTGGACTGAAGGTGGTGCTGGGGAGCAGCCTGTTTGCTGTGCTTCATCACGAGTTGCTGGGAAGTTGTGACATTCACCTTCCCTTTCCAATTTCCTAGTTATCTGGGAGGCCAGAGGACGTGTCTGGTTATTACACAGGTGCACAGCTGGAGGTGGGATCCACACAGCTCGGAACAGCTGGATCTTGCTCAGTCTCTGTCAGGGGAAGATTCCTCGGTAAGTCGGGGACCGTTGACCTGCCCCCATCTCCTTATTCTCACAATAGCTCCATGAAGGAAGGATCATTCCGCTTTTGTAGGTAAGTTCAGAGACATTAGTAACTGGTTCAGATCAGACAGGAAAGCAGTGGCAGAGCCGGGATTTGCACCCAGGCTTGAGTCTGATGCTCCCTCCCTCCTGCTGTGCCCTTAAATAGCAGAGAGAGGCTGGGAAACAGCTCAGATGGGTTCACAAAGCTCCCTGGGTTCAGCTCTGGTTTAGACTGCGGAGACACGGCTGGGGGACCCCAGAAGGAAGGTCTGTGTTGGGGGTGCCTGTCTCTTTAGGAAATTTGAAGGAACCAAAGAAGGTGGAGGTGGGGAGGTGACCCGGACTCTGGTCTGTCCTTATGGCCTGGAAACACCCAGGCTGGCCCCAGGGTGCTGCTGCTGAGGCCCAGTGGGAACGACAAATTTATTTTGAGATACAAGGAACCTAGAGGTCATCTCACCACCTCCCCCCCAAGTCTGAGCACCAACTTGTGCCAGGCCCTGTGGGGAAACTGAGGCCCTGGGAGGGGAGTGACTTGCCCAGGGTCCCGTGTCTGGAGGCTGAGCAGGTAGCTCATAGGACTCCACGTCTCTGGCCCTCACCTCTGTCCCTCTCTTCAGACCTCTGGGGGGATGGAGAAGAAACAGGCTGTGCTGTGTCCCTAATGGGAAACATGGCTGAGACAGGGGAGTGAGAAGGGCATGTTGCGGAATGGTGTCTGTGGCATGATGCCAGCTTTGCAATCAAGAGATCCAAAAACCTCACTGTGGAATTGTGGATATAACTACAGGAGTGACAGCTTAGATCTCTCCGTTTGTAGAAGCAGAATCAAACCTGGAAACTTTTGGATTATCAAAATTACACATTTTTGCTTCTATATTAGAGTCACAAGGCCAGATGTTGGCCTCCCCTCTGCCTTCCAAGAGCTGTGTGACTCTGGGCAAGTCACCTCCTCTCTCAGCCTGAGTATTCTCCCCTCTCAAAAACCTGATAGAGCTGCCAAAAGTACATGAAATCGGGGGGAAATTACCTGATAGAGCTGCCAAAAGTACATGAAATCGGGGGGAAATTACCTGATAGAGCTGCCAAAAGTACATGAAATCGGGGGGAAATTTCTGTGAAATCTGAGTCATGGTCTTATTTTTCTTCACTAAGAAGAGATGCCCGTCAAGATAGAAAGCACTATGGCTGTGGCTTGTAACCCCAGTGCTGTGGGAGGTAGAGGCGGGAGGATCACTAGAGGCCAGGAGTTCAAGACAGTCTGGAAAACACAGGAGATGTTGTCTCTATGAAATTAAAAATGAACAAATTAGCCCAGCATGGTGGCGTGCACCTGTAGTCCCAGCTACTCAGAAGGTTGAAGGAGGAGGATCACTTGAGCCCAGTAGATCTAGGCTGCAATGAGCTAGGATGGCGCCAAAGCACTCCAGCCTGGGTGACAGAGCAAAACCGTTTCTCAAAAATGAAATGAAAATGGTGATTTCTCAGGAGGACCACACTGTGTCAACCCTCTATTCCTGCCCCAGGAGGAGGCCCCGCAGTGACATGGAGGGAGCTGCTTTGCTGAGACTCTTTGTCCTCTGCATCTGGTGAGCTTGGCTCAGAGTGCTGAGGTGGGAGGGAGGCCCCCGGTCTGGGCTGCACAGTTGGGCAGGGCTTGGGCTGGGCCTGGGCCATCTGGGTTTCTTTCAGGAACCAAAGTCCCTTCCCAGAATTGACCAACCAGCAGACTCACCCAGGGAGGACCTGCTGTATCCTAGTCAAGGCTAACGGGCAATATCCAGCCTCAATTCTCAGCAGAGGCCCCAGATCAGGGTCTGAGCCAGGCCAACAATGACCAAAGAGGATGGGATCCTGGGTGCAGCTCCTCACAAGTGTCGGGCGAGTCTGAGGCCGCAGCTCTCTCTGCCCTCCTGCTCCTCTGTTCTCTCCTGGTCCTCCTCGTTCATGGTGTTGAAATGGCTGCCCTGGCCCAGGGAGTCATACAGTGAGCAAAGCAGGAACAAGGGGAAGGGAACCCCCTCTCCTGTCACCCCTGTCCCTTACAGCAAGAAGCACCCAGACACCCCTCTGCATACGGCCTTTGTGAACTGCTGCCCAGGACTGGGTCCCCCTTCTACCCTTGCTGTATGGGGGCCCCAGAAGACAGATGTCTGTGTGTCTGAACCCTGGGATAAAGGCAGGAAGGGGAAAGAGGAAGGCGAGTGGCTTTTGAGGAGGGGGCTTTTGTATGAGAGCTGGAGGATGGAACCCCATCAGGGGGCCCGGAAACCACTGAGCTGTTAAAATAAAGGCTGCAAACAAAGACCAGCTGCTGGAAGTGGGTGTGCCAGGGAGTGAGCAGAGACACAGGGTGGAAAGAGAAATGGTAATGCCTGGAGCCGCCCCTGACTGCGATGGGCCTGAAGCCGTATTATTAATAGTAATTATAGTATCATTATTAGTCATTTTCATCTTATTTGTATCCTCCCTCTGTCTCTCCTCTCCACCTTTTCCTAACATTCTATCACCAGTTTTATGTCTTCCATTAGCAACTTTGTAGCTGTAAACAGTTTACTTACAACTTTCTCATGCCCTCAGTTGTACCCAGTATTTCTTGACTTCTCTCTTTAAAAAACGACGATATTAATCTTCCTTCTCCTTCCTTCAGTGCTTCACATCCCAACTGCTACCTTTGTGCTTTAAATTTTGTACTAATTGGTATTGGTAACAAGTATATTTAGTTCTCACATTTCCATGTCGTGTATATGGTTTTTTGTCCTAAAGAAGAGACTACTGAGAGCCAGTGAGACTGAAAGAATGGGCATCTTCATGTACTGCTAGTTTGAGTGTGAATTTGGTACAATGTGCATACAGTGTGGCTGTAGGTATAAAACCTAATTCTACTCCTACGCATATCTTAAGGAAATAATCTCAAATGTGAGCAAAGTTTTAGGAGAAGGAGGATGTTCTTTGTAGCATAAATTACATGAAGAATTAGAAACACCCTATGTCCATCAACCAGGAAGGACAGCAGAGGGGACAGGGCAGCACCAGGAGGGCTCGGCAGCCACAGCAGGGGCTGAGCCGACATCTGGCAGGATCCAGGTCTTTGTGGGACAAAGGACCTTAGAGAAGCGACGGGGACACAGGCTGTCCACTGCAGCAGAAGTGAATTCACCAAGACGAAGAGTTGAGCACAGAGTGTGAGACACGGATTTGCAATGAGGAGTCATTTCCCATGAGCGTGTACACATGACTGAGTATTGTATATTGAAGGGAGTAGAGCACAGTCATTGAAGACATGGGGTTGAAGCAGAAGTCCTGGCTCTAGCACTATTGTGAAAACACGGGCAGGTTCCCTAACTTTTGTGGATTCCTCTGTGTTTGAATGGGAAGGTGGTACCCATCTCCCGGGCTGTGTGTGGTCATCGAATGAGACACGTGTAAGGAGCCCTGCACATCACAGACACTCAATACACACTGGCTATCATCAACCAGTTATCACACACGTTCCCAGGCCCAGGTCATTGTCAGAACCTTCCTCCCCATCTCTATTCCTGTGTATGGACTCTGTAGTTTTCTGTAATGATCAGATGGCTGCCCCTTCTCTGATTATCTTCTCCTCATACCCCAACAGGACAAGCGGACTTTTCCTTGGTGTGGGAGTGAGGGCAGAGGAAGCTGCAGTGAGGTGAGTGTCTGTAAATAGCAGGTGATGGGGACTCGGTGACTGAGAAACAATCTGGGTTAGGTTGGTCTTGGCGTTTTCTTCCACCCCAGAGGGATCTGCAGAGCCCCGGCTGCTCAAGCCTCCCTCTGTCCACAGGTGGCTCACATTCAATCCCACAATTTGTTTTCTCCTCCTCAAGGGTGCAGCAAAACCATCCAGGTGGGACAGATACAGGAGATCCTCAAGGTAAGCCGCTCAGTGACCGGGCTGCTGGCACCATGGACCCAGGTAGGCTCGCCTCCTCTTCCCTGGCTGGTTCCCACTCGCACCTAGCATGGAGGGTGGTGCCTCCACAGCTGAGTGAGCCCCAGAGGAACCCAGATGGACAAGGAGACCGATGAGTCTGCTCCAAGCCCCAAGAGAAGCCGCATAGAGTCCCCCGACCCAGGGGTCTGTGGGGCCATCTGCATCCTGACTTCTCGGGGAGGCACGGCCCAGGAGCCCACTTCTTCTCTACCCTGGCACTAGCAAATGTCTCAAGTGGGGCAGGACAGCCTTGGGGAAATGGAACCAGCAGGGGAGGGGAGTGGGGGGAGAGCAGGGTCCAGGAGGGGAGGGCTGGGAGAGCAGGTTGACCAGCAGCCCCGACCTGTCACCTCCCACTCTGCTCCCAGCTGACCCTGGGTGTTTCTAGCCGAGGCTGGTCCCCTCCCTCCAGCTCTTGCCCTGCACCAGCCCCTCTGCTCTGAGTGGCCTTGTGGGAATGTATCAGGCCTGATCCAGCTTCCAACTTAACTGGACCCTGGTCTGGCCTTTGCCACGTCCCCTCTGTGTGACCTGGCGCTCCTTACCTCCCCTCTCCTGTACCATGAGAATAATATTTCTCCATGTTGTCTTGAGGATCAAATATGACACAGCTATCTGGCCTGGCTGGTGCCTGCCACACGGTAGGGCCTCCCTAAGGGCTGGTTCCCATCCCCTCTACCTGTCTCCTGTTGATTCCAGGTGGAAGTCACCCAGTCCTCCCAGCTGTGTTAGGGGCACCCGCCCTGCCCTGCCCACCACAAGCACCTGCTGAGCAGGGAAGACTGCCCCGGGCAGGGGTTGAGTCCAGTCATCTAAAATACCCTGGTCAAAGAAAAATCTGAGGCCCAGTAGAATTTTAAAGAGTTTATTTGAGTAAGAAAGAATTCTTGAATTGGGAAACAGCAAACTGGAGGAGGCTTCGTGCTATGGTGAAAAAGTGTGGGAGACAATGTTTATCGGGTGAATATGAAACTGCTATAAGGACATGACTTGATTGGTTGCACTTACAAAACTTCCTGTTTTGGTTTACCTTGTTGGAAAATCCCTGGTCACGTTGGTGCTGGTGAGTTTAGGGAGGTCTCCGAACGCAGGTGAGACCGGACCTTAGCCTTGCCCAGGTTTTTGACATCGAAGAGAGAAAAAGGTTAAGTCCAAGCAAAAGCAAAAGCAAATCAGCTTTTATTGCAAAGCAGACGCGCAGGCTCGGGGGTGGGAGTGCAGGCGGACTCAGAAGCGCCAGTCGGGCCCAGTGTGGTTTGGGGTTTCTGCCTTTGCTGGTTTATTAAATTAAGGGGTGGAGTAAGCATAAGGATTTCTGGGAAGAGGTGGGGATTTCCTGGAACTTGAATGGGGTGGGTACCACGCAGTTTTGTACCAAACACAGGCATACATGGAACTGCTGTGGCGCGGGTGGGGGTGGGGTTTAGTGAGACAAGGAGGGTATGATTGAGTGTGAGGCGAAACGTGAGCCCGACCCAGCACTGAGTTAGATCTTACTGGTCTTAGCCGGATTGGCCACTTCCTGTTTGTCAGGGTCCTGTGGGCCCGTCGCCTCCCCCTGTCCTTGCAGCTGGTTTCAGCAGCTCCTTCTGTGTCCGTCATGTGAACCTGCTGCCTGGAGTTCTTGTTTCTTCTGTGACCTCCCAGTATTCCCATCTCAGTATGGCCCGCTGTCAGCTGGCTGCTCGTGACTGGCCAAGGTTAAGTTTTGTTTGTGTCTAACAGAAGCACCCATCTGATACGACCCCAGTTCAGTTTCCCACAGCTTGCAGTTTAAGGGGGGTGACAGCCGTTCTCAAGGCCTCATAGGTATTGTTTGCCCAAGAATGTTTCAGGGCTGGATTTTGTTTTAATTTTGCTTTTATATCCACCAGCCCCACCCCATCAAGAAATATACAGATTTAGTGATGGAGGTTCCTTCCATCCAACCCTGGGTTTCCTTCCTCGTTTTGGTGAAGAAGGAAAAAGAAAAAACAAGTCAGTTTTTCTTTGACTTGTGCTGACCCAGCCGAGTCAGCACTGCATTCATTTCCCTAAGCCCCATTTCCTCAGGACGGCTTCCTCCCCTCACTGAGTTGCAGTGGCAACCAAGTCAGCTCTGCTCAGGAGCCGCCCTGGACAGCAAACTGGCCCGTGCTGAGTCCTGTCCAAGAAGAAGGGAGGGCGGGGAAGATTAGAAGCCAGGAGCTCCTAGGCCACCCCAGATTCCTGGGCTGGGCTGGGCTGGGCTAGGGGGCCAAGGAAGAAACTGTCCCTCCAAAACAGGATGATCTGTGGTTTAATACCAAATCACAGGCATTTTTAAAACACAAGGAGTCTTCGAAGCAATGTCAAGGAAACGTTGGCCTTGGAGTCAAATCCTGAGCTTCCTGCTTGCTGGTTTTGGGCGGTGACTCTCGCTGTCTGGATTTTACTTTCTTCTTCTGTGAATTAAGAATGGGGCCCCTTGTGTGTCCACAGCAGGAAACAATTTTACACCATGTCTTGGTGCACACACAAATACATACTAGTCCCCAGTCCATTATCTGTAATTCCATAATTTCCAGATCCCTGCAAACCACACATTTTGGGGGCAGCTGACTTCAGGAGTAATCCTGCTCTGTACTGACTCGAGTTCTTTGTAGGCCTACCATTATTTACCCCATTTAATGTGAATATTTGCTTGTTTCACTGTTGAAACATGCATGGGTTTGATTACAGGGAGCAGTCCAGCCTCTGCTGGCAATGGTAAGGAATATACCATATGCACCCCGTGTCCTTTCTAAAATAGTGAAAATTCGGAATGCCTAAACACATCTGGATTCCAGGAATTTACCTTAAGGGATATGTATTTGAAATAACTCACAAAAGCAATACTCACCCCTGCTATGCTTGGTAAGCTTTGATATTTTCAAATTGATTTTCTTTTTAACATGCTGCTCTTGAACCAATGATTTCATAACCCAATGATGTGTTGAAACTCACATTTTGAAGACAGGGGTATAAAGTGTTTGACACCCAACAGGCACGTGGCAGATAGAAGTGATCACTGGGATGTTTCCACTTCCTTGGCCTGGAAGGCTCACTTTGTGTTGGTGCTGAGCTGAAAGGGATTCATTCCTCCCCAAAGCACTGTGGCACTCCCCTGGTGTTTCAGTGTTCTCAGGCTACCATGGTAAAATATCACAGGCTGGGTGACTTCAACATCTGGTTTTTCTTTTCTCACACTTCCAGAGGCAAGAAGTCCAAGGTGAAGGTGCCGGCAGGGTTGGAGTCTGGGGAGGACTCTCTTGCTGGGTTGTGGAGGCTGCCTTTGTGCAGTGTGATCATCTGGCTTGCTTGTGTCTCTTTCACTTCCTGCAGTAGGACACTAGCCCTCTAACAGGATTAGAGTCCTACCCTTGTGATCTCATTCAGTCTTAATTGCTTCCTTAAAGGCCTGATCTCCAAATATAGTCATCTGACTTTAGGGCTTCAGCATATGAATTTTGGGGGCACACAATTCCCTTGATAGCACTGATGACTCCATCAAACGTATCCCACACCACAGCTGTCCTGGAAAATTAACACGTAACCATCTTTTACACAATGGCTGTTATGCTCCCCCACACTTTCCTCCAACCTGATCCTTTTTTCTTTCCAACTAGAGAGCAACGTTTCTCTTGAGGATTACCTTAATTATTTCCAGAAAAACGTGAGCCCACAGGAGATGCTACTCCTGCTGAGTGACCATAAAGCCTGGGAGAGAGTGGTGGCTACTGCTGAACTGCCCAGGTAACCTCCATGGGGTTATCTCCATTGGGAACCCTGGTGATGCCACCCAGATCTCCCTTGGACTAGTTTTCCCTGACAGACACACCTCCTCCAGGCAGCACCCTCTGCTGGGCTTGAGGATGACCTCGGCAGTCCAGGAGGAACATTTCCTCCCAGTCCTTCGCTGGCAGTGAGTAGCCTCAGGCTGAGGGGACCGGGAGCCCACAGGGACAGGGTCATTTCTGCCATCTGCTGGTGATCGGAAATTTGCGAGTTACTTTCCCACTTTCAGCCTTTCTTCATCCATGGAGTTTTACTGTGAGAAAAATGAGATCATGCATGTAAAGTACTCAGCATAATGACTGACACATAGTAGGTGCACAGTTAACATTAACATCTTACAAGGTTGGTGGAAATAGACCAGGGTCAAGGGTCTTCCTCTTGAAGTCCAGCAGCACTTCCTTTGGGACAAGTCCGAAAAATCCTGACTTAATTGATGTGTGTTCCTGGGGATGCTGGCTGGGGCCTTTTTTCTCATCTGAGGAATTCCATAAAGGCGGCAGGACCTTTCTGCTGGTCCAGGATGCTGAGAGGCTGGAGTGGAGTTGGACAGCACTGGGTCTCTTTCCGGCTCTGTCTGTGCCCAGTCCCTGGGCTGTAGGCTTATGTCATGGAGACTGGGACCTGTCATCTGTCCAATAGAAATAGCAAGTCAATGTCATAGGAGTATGGTGAAGGCCTTAGAGTGAACTCCAGGTCAAAGGTGGGGAACCAAGATCAAGATCCTGCCCAAAGGCCAAGAGAGACCAGGACCAGTGTCAGAGCCTGGGGTCAGGATGGAGCAAGAGTCAGCCTTGGTTGTAGGACAAGTAGGAAGGTTGAGGCACCAGGGCTGGGACTAGGGTGTGGCAAGAGAGGCACCAAGGGCTTGAAACTTAAGGAGGTCATGAACTTGCAGAGGATATGTGAGTGGGAGAGGAATATTTCTTCTCTGTCGGGATGATCCCAACACTCATGGACATAGAGGGTCATGGTTGCCTGTGTCTCTCACACCCTGCCTGGGAACTGGCAAGTTCTGGGCTACCCTTTGGGATCTTCTTCTCTTCTACACAAAGAAGCCCCTGACAATGGCAAGCAGTATGCCTTAGAGACCATTTCCATAGTAGAATGGGTTGCTGTCAATGTATATAATTTCAGGGGTACTGAGCAGACTCACAAGTCCCCAGCCAAGAAGGAAAACACTTCCTCTACCATCTTGTCCAAATTCGGGTCTTTTCAGCGTTAGCAATTTATATAGATGGTTCTGAAAGTGTCCTGAGTCTTCTAGAGGTTCCATAAAATTGCACATGGCCTTGGCGTGCGCACAGGTGAAGCTGTCACTGCTAAGGCATCAGTCAGGCTGGTGACATCTGCGAGTGAGACCTGGAAGGTTGGGGGTGCAGGGGGTAGGTCAGGAGGCGGCAAGGTGGCTGGAGAGTCCATGAGGAGCCAGAATGAATACCCAGATCTCCCACTCC